GGGGTGCTGGGGATGTAGCTCAATGGTACTGCGCCTGCCTCGCAAGCACGAGGTCCTGAGTTTGATCCCTGGTACCAAGAAAAATAAAAATTAAAAAAGAAATAAGGAGGCAAAAGTCTTTACATAAAAAGTCTAAGGAATCCATTAAAAAATGCATATGTAACTTTAGCAAGGTTTAAAGATCCTGTTAATATTTTAAAAACAGTTGTACTTTCTATAATTGAAAAATAAAATTAAAAAACAATTCCATTAACCAATACATTTAACAAACTATACACAAGACTTCTACATTGAAAAAACAAAATATTACTGAAAGCAATTAAAGTCCAAATAAATAAAGAGGTATACCATATTCATGAACTACGTCTTTTGCCTGTTTTATGCTGCCAGACACTAGGTAATTTACATTTCTCATGGTTCTGGAAGTTCACTTTCAGGGCTCCATCTAGGGAAGGCCTCTTTTGTTATGCTTCATCCTATGACAAGAGGATGGAGGGGCAAGGAAGAAAAAGGGTGAAAACTTGTTCTTGTAAAAGGGACCCACACCCATGATAAGAACACTACTCCATTCACGACTGCAAAGCCCTCCTGGCCTAATCACATCTCATAAGTGCTACCTCCCAACACTGTTGGGGATTATGTTTCTACTACATGCTTTTTTGGGAGACAAATTCAAACCACAGTGGGTCCTCAGAATTACCAAAATGTCTTCAAATTATACATTCATTGTAACACAATGATAATTCCACCAGCATTACTATCATACTGCTTCTAAATTTTATGGAGAAATGCAAAGGACCTATAATTTTGAGAGTAATTTTGAAAAGAAATACAAAACTGAAGAGCATCCGCCATTTGACTCAAGACTACTATAAAGCCATAGTAATCATTAACAATTTGGTTTGGCATAAAAATCAATAAAGTAACCAATGGAGCAGAGTAGAGAACCTTGATTTAGATACACACTTTCATAGTAGCTTTTTTACAAAAGCACCAAAACAACTTACTGGGGAGATTTTCAACAACTAGTGCCATAAATAACTGGCTTTCCATATTGGGGGCGGGGTCTAGAGTCCTACTTTACAACTTAAATACAAGGAAAACAATCCTTGGCAAACCATGGACCTAAAGACAGAAGCTAAAGTATAAAGTTCTTAGAGGAAAACCTAAGATAATTTAGAAGGACTGGGAAACAGGAAAGCAGAAAAAATTTCTGAGAACACACACACACATCACAAAAGAAAAAAACCTGTCTTCTCAAGAATGTGTATTATATAATGAAAACCTAATGAGAAAAAGAAAATTTAATTTTCCTTAGCTATCTCATATTTTAGTCTAATGTGAACTAATCTAATATATACCCCCGGACATACTACTTATATAAAAATTTAGAATTCTGGAAAACAGAAAATGGACATTTATGGTGCCTCCACTTCAATAAATATTTATGGGCAGGAGACAGCATTATGCAAAGGATTGGACATTGAACTGATACTGTCTCTTAAGACTCCTTTAACTCTAAAATATTTCATTATAATTTTTTTCTAACTTGCCAGGAGGTTAATCTTCAGGTACTATATTCTGAAATACAAACTTGATGAAACCTTAAGAGCTTTTCCTTCCTCGACCCAGATTAACTGAATTTGAAATATGAACTGTTTAACTCTACAAGGTTCCAAATTTGATGTGATATAATTAGGTGAAAGAGTAGACACTTGAATGTGATGGCCAAACCGTCCCCTGGTAATTTAGAGGCCTGCAAATTATTTCATACTTGAACAGTGATCCACAGTGAGGTCTGAGCCGGCTCTGTGACCACTTGGCCAACAGAGTACGATGAAGCGATGGTGAGGGTCCGAGCCCAGGCCCCCACTACCTGTCTTTTGATACCAAACGCCATACTGTAAGGAAGTCCTCTGAGGAGGGAGTGGGAGCCTGCTGACCTTCAAGTCAATGGCCAGCCACGTTCATGTTGGGAGTGAAGTCTCCTGCCCCGCTGAGACACTCCAGGTGACACTGGTGGATCAGAGACAAGACATTCTTGTCAATTCCTTCCCAAACTACAGATTGATGAACAGAATAAATAACTGTTTGAAGCCATTCATTGGTGAAGTAATATCACACAGCAATAGACACTGGGCTACACTTTTATATTACAAACACCTAGACTGGTTTTCTCAAAATGGAAACCTGAACATGCCAACCCCCTTGACTCAAGATCGAGTTAACCAAATCTATTCTTTGTATGACCCAAAGTGCCACAGAGGTCAGAAAAACAAACAAACAAAGAAAACTCTTCACTGCTGCTTTATTTTGATGCACCCGCAGTACAGAACCTCTCAGAGAGCTGTGAAAGGGGAAGGTTACATTTCTTTTTGGGAGCACCTCCACTTTTGTTTCTGTTACCACTTTGAAGAAAGTAAATAGTTTCCAAAGAAGACATTTTAAATTCCAAGTGTTTAAGACTCTCTTGCATTTTGTTGTGTTCAAAAAGAAGTAGCACGTTTTAGCCAGAGCTGGAAGATTCTTTTGTAGCATTTTCATTTCCATGTAGAACAGGTCTTCACTGTCTGGCTGAATCAGTCTATAATTTTCATATGCAACTTTTCATATCAAAAATGTTTCATTTTTACGTCTACCCACAAACAGATGCTGTATAAAAAAGAAAAATAACAGGCACACACACTCACAGCTAAGTTTAAAGCCAGTCAAGAACCACAGCATTACTAACATGGAAAATGAACTTTTGCTGCCCTCTCCTGCTAAAACAATGGAATACTAAAATACCAAAGATTTATAAAGCTGTAGCAAAATCCTCAAACCGAAAACAATGGACAAGTCATTCTCATTATACTTCAATCAAAAATCAGACAACCACCAGAAAATGTATTGGTAATATTTATATTTGAAATCTCCCCACTGATACATGAGGTTTGGGTTACACCTTATTTACAGTAAGTGATTTTTTTTTAAAGGTCAAGAGGGAGGAAGGGGCTGAAAGAAACTGAAAGACAGAAGATAAAGAGGGAGAAAAGTAGAGTGAAGGGAGGAGAAGGAAGGGAAGAAAAGGACATCTATATTCATAGACACTGCTCATTTCCAAGAGATACCAGTGCTGCTGTTGTGCACAAGCAGCAGCACGGGCTGTCACTCTACTACATCAAAGTCTGCTCACTTTCTCTAGAGATGCGCAATCCCTCTTTTAGATTTTCAAAATTAAATATAGAGAAATACAAAATGCATCGCCAATATACCTATTACAAAAATCCTTTGTGGCTCACTCTTTAACTCCCCTCAGAGAAGCAGCCGAGCCAGAATACAAAAATAAAAATATTCATGTGCAAATAAAACATCACTGGTCACGTCTGGTGCCACCTTTTCTTTTTTTTTGCTACAGGTGACTGTCACTTTGTGATAACATTGGTGACAGCATCAAAAGAGAGAATCTCTTCATTTCCTGGGCCAGATCAGTGCATCCAATTAGTGGGAAAAACAACAACAGGAAAAACAAAACTCCAGAACACTTAAAAATCCCAGTAACATCCTATCATCCACACATCCCTTCCCCACCCCCCATCCCCACAAAAAAATAAAAAAGCTTTTAAAGCTCTAAATATACTTTTTTAGAATTTTTTTCATAGTGTGATTGAGCCTAGGGCTATACATTTAAGTACAACAGGTGCAAGTACGAGCAATTCTTGGCCCTGCACCCGGACTGCCCCCACGCATGGAAGGGGGTACAAAATAAACCCTTCCATTAGGCAGACACGCCCAGGAGGAAGGAGTGTGACCCTGCTTGTGAGCATCCAGTGGGATGGAGGGCGTCACTCATTTTACTTTTTTATGTTTTTTTTTTTTATTTTATAAAAAGTCGGGTGTGAAGGAGAACAAAAAATTGAAAAGGACAAAAAGTAAACAATGAAAGCAAACAACTGGGGACACTTGCAGAAAGAGAGAAAGGAATGCGTGCGTGACTCAGGAGATGCGGACACTGCTCACACGGGTGTTCCAGGCCCGCAGTCCCAGGCCTCAGCATCATTCTAAAGCACAGGGCTGAACTGTTTTTTTGCTTTCAATGACACTCTTAATCCCATCCCTGAAACCAATATGGTAGGGAAAAGGCTGGAGTGCTCATCACTCACCAACTACAATATTTGCTATTTTAAAAATATATTTATATATAATTCTGGAAACTATGAGACAAAATATAACACGGAGATGCATTTGTCACAATGAACTCAGGTCGCGATGACAGCAGAATTGCAGGAAGGGATAGAGAGAGGGCTGCTGCAAATGCAGCCAGTACATCCTTAAATATGTCACATAGTGCAACAGTCAGATTACCTCAGTTACTCCCCGTCACCGTACACAACGTGACAAATGTCACATTGTCACTTTTAGTTAAAAAAGAAAAGACAGTGTTTCTTCTCAGAAGCTGCCCTAGGAATTTTAGACAGAGAGCTCTAATTGCTTAAATGTCTAAAATTTAGCATTATTCTCCTCAGTTTGGAAGGGGCAAACACACAAAATTGGCATCAAAGTATCTGTGTCCTTCTCACTTTCACTCTGAGGAAAAGGCAAGGTGCAGAAAGGGACTGTGGCCTTTCTCATTTCAAAGGACTGCATTTCATTTGAATGGGCAGAAATTATTCCTAAGTCTATGATTTTTCATGTCTTCTGTCTCATGGCAAACAATAGTTTCGACCATCAAAAATAAAGGTAGAGTCACAACTAAAAGGGCTAAAATCAAAGGGCTGAAGAATACTTGGTACAAATTAATATTTTTTTTTTATCAAGATTAGTATTTAAACTTGTACCTTTGCTCTGGCACTTTTAAAGCAAGATGTTTCATTCTGGTCAGGCTTTGCCAACATTACAATGAATCTCTGTTAATGTTCTTTTTTTAAAAAAAAAAATCTATTAATTCCATTAAACCATGTTGGGTGTGGTGGTGCATTTTTTTTTTTTTTTTTTTTTTCTTTTTTTTTTGGTACCAGGGATTGAATTCGGGTCTTTGCGCTTGCAAGGCAGGCCACCAAACTGTTGAGCTAAATCCCTAGCCCGGTGCATATGACTTTGTAAATTGCTGTTTCTTAGGAATTAACAAAGCTAGATTTTGGTTTTGTTTTCACTTCTTAGAAAATTACCTAGATAACAATATCCATAATTAGCTGACTTTATATATACACTGTGACCTGATCGGTAAAATGGAAACACGTCATAGGGGAGTAAGGTCAGCAGCTTTTTTTTTTTTTCCCTTTTTCTTGGAAACAAACTGCAAATTCTACTTTATATTTAAATGGAAGGAAGAAAATATACAAGCCCATATTTATATTGCATTTCTAATTAAGAGCAACAACAGCTCCTATGTTCATGTTTGCTACTATCACAACTCAACGTATGAACATAGAATCAGCTCTATACCGTGAGTACTGTTAGAAGTGATGGTTCGGGATTATCATCTCACTGCTGCCATGCCTGTAACGAGCAAAAGCGTCCAGGAAACAAATCCCAGAGCACAAATCTTTCAGTACACAACACTGCAACCGCAGTGGGTAAGCACATATTGTACACAAGTTCTATCAGCAAGTTACCTACCCAAGACGCGAGATTCCTCTTCTAATACAAAGCAGACAGCCAGTAAGATCTACCTATAATACAGCCCTAGATTTTGTTTTTGCTTTTTCTTAAACAATTTGGTCACAATGCACCTTTGATATAAAAGCATTTTTAAACTTTATTATTAATACTCAGGACATTAGAGATTTCCAGATTTTTCAGTAGCATTTGTAGAACCACTTTTGGTAACAAATACAGTAGTTAGGAATATGCATCCCATTCAGAATGCATAATGTCAATCCTGAATCCTTTCTGGCTAAAAACAGGGCTGGCGTTGTGATGAGATACAGAACGAGAATCTACAAAAAACACTGTAACATGTTTGTCTTTTTCCCAGAGGCTACATCCTCTTTTGCTGAAATACTTTATAAATACATATTAAAAAGTAAGGCAACAAATCCAAACAGTCCAAGCTGCTTGCTCATCTCTTTTCCCAATCAGATTCGCAATCCTGGCGATCAATTTCATGGTTGTATGCTTTAGTGTTTGTCTTTCTTATGTCATATGGTGCAAAAGGATGTTTTTCTGACTTTTCTAAAACACCTCTGGTACATATTTTCAATGATGTATGCAACTAATACTGCTCAGGTACTGAAGCCTGTGATGTCCCAGTGCCTGTTTTCAAAGGATTCAAGACATTGATTTGGATTCACCATAAACTTCTGCGTGAATCCAAAATTCCCTTTCCTACCATGTTTATCACCTCTTCTCTTTTAACTCCTAATTTTAAACCTAGAGGAGTACCAGGACTACCTGGTTACTGGAAAGATGTTTACTCCAGTAGACAAAACTTTCATCAGGGACCGTTACAATGCATGGCCCTTTTCCACATGGACATTTAACTCATGAAGATGTGCAAAAGGAAACGATGTCAAGTTACAGTCAAGTTATCCAGAGGAAGAAGCTACACAAACTCATAAGGAAATGACAGTCTTTTTTCCCCCTTTCTTTCCTATAAATACATTTACCAACTTAGCAGAAAGACAAGTTGAATTTAAGATTGTTCACATTTGCAAATGGTATCATATCTCTGCTAGTGATAAATAAGGAACTCCTCCTGATAATGGAATTTTAACATAGCAATTTCATCAACAGATCTTTGAAGACTGCTTTTCTGTCTGTTTTTAAGAGGGTTAAAACAATGATTATGTTTGCAAAGTTCTGAGAAGTCCATCTACTGTCCAAACTTTGGATTGAAGTCCTTATTTTTTTTTTCTTTTACTTAGAGACAGGGTATATACAGTGCTGTTGTAATAATGAAACAAATGTGAAATCTACTGTAAAGTTGCACAACACAGAAAACTGTTGCTCCATCTTCTACTACATGAAGGTGTGATTCCACAGGTTAGTACTGTGTCAGATTTTTGTTAAGTTGGAATTATCCCATCACGTCTAAGACCTCTCTTTAACTCCAGATCCTCCAATTTTTTCCACAATTCTTCACGCTCTTTTTCTTTCTTTTTCTCACTGAAGAAGAAACAGAATACAATGTCAGCAACTGAGATGGAGTAAAGAGATTAACTAGCATCAACTGCCCCTTCACACTGCTTTCCGTATGTATGTATGTGTTAAAAATCTGAAAAGTTTGGCACTAAGCTTGTGAATTTTTCTATTTGGCTTTTCTTTTTTGACACTTCTGTAGACATAAAACTCATACTAATGAACAGAGTAGGAGAAAACACACTGTTTTAAGGTATCAAATATAATATCTCATTATACTTCACCACGGAAAGAGAAGTCTCCTTGGGTAGTTTCTGAAAACTTGTGATTTCAATTTTAAGTTGTAATGGGGACGGAACTTTGTTGGTATTACTTTTATTTATTGATCTGCTAAATTACCAAGCCCTCAAATTTAGTTCAATATTGATTTTACTACTGATGTTCAGGCTTTTAGATTTCATCGCTTAACTAAAATTTACCAAAAACTGATTGATCCAAATGGAGTCAACAAATTTGATTTTGCCCAGACATTTTGAAATTACTCTTGTGTTTCTTTATAAAGGGAGGATATTTTATTATTAACCAAGTGTGAAGCACATATGAATATATGACTAAATTGTAAATTAAATAAATTCACATTTATTAAAAATAATTCACTGTGCTATTCCTAGTTTTTCATGTTGCAGTGAACCAGTAAAAAGGAGGCCGAAGTCAGACACTGTGTCAAAGGCCTGGTCCGTCACTTACCAAAGACTTAACTTTCAGTCACAGTGCAAATTTTACTCAGAGAAATCCACATCAGTGAAATGAAATTTGTATGTAACCAATACCTTATATATTTTATGTTATCACCAATATTTTTTGAAACACTGCATTAACATTTAGAGCAATACAAATTAATCCTCACCCTCCTGTCTCTCCCTGAAAAACACTAGAGAAACCTATGTAACTTCTCTTTCTACTAGTCTTGCATGAATCTTGAAATATGTAATGTGGTTGTTCGTATCTTTATTCCACAATTAATATTTTGATAATTTAGGCCTTGTTTACTACAATTAGTTTTAACAATCGCAAGTGCAATCTGTCCAATACAAATTTCAGTGGGCATAACTGTTTTCAAACAATTACCTATTTGGTAATTTTGATCCTGAAAAGTTGTATTTACAGGGTACTAAGAGGCGAGATTAGATAATCATGCAATCATTTTGGATTCTAGATTCTTGAATGCCAAGCAAACTACGTGGCAAGTTATCAATTTTTGTTTCTCAGTCCAGTTTGGGGACAACATTTAGTCTAAAGAGATGTTCTCAGAGAGCACGTCCTTGAGTACATTTAAGTCCATTCTACAGGTGCAGCTGAGTTTTAATGCGTCTGACCTTTTTATTTGGAGGGAGATGAGAACGGTAAGCAAGTGCTTGGGAACTTACTCAACTGAAAAACAGCTCAATTCAGGTCACATTCACATCGCTCTGATTAACAGTTTAAATTATGCTGATGTCCTCACAATAATCATCATCTATTACCAAAACATTTCGTTCACATTTTTGATGAGGAGTTTTCTAGCATTCAATGCAATTTATCCTATGGGGCTTTCTTCCAGGCGAAATTTGTGATGGATGATCACACAGCTGTCACACTGACATGAGACATTTCTCACGTATTTACTGCTCCCTTATTCCTTCCCACTCTCTCTCCCTGTAGGTGGGAATTTTAAAACTTAACCCCACGTCACCATGGGGATGCTGCCCCAATCCCCTTCCAGTTTCACTTATACACAGCACCGGCACAGGTATCTAGTAGGGTTAACCTTTACCCCACTGTCTTCAGACGTGCAGTACTTTTATCAACTCTGAACTGAAGCCATAAACTTCTTGCCTCCTGAAGTGAAATTTCACTCAGTTCTTCTATGAAAGCACCGTTAAACCTTGGTTCACTTTTTCTCATTCTCACATCTATAGAGAAACCAGTGCTTCTTTCTGTCCAGTACAGTCTACAAGCACTCATTTGAACAAGAGTTACCCTTGCTTTAAAAGAAAAAAAAAAATCTCTCATTAAGAAAGTCCACTGGCTATAAACCTTTTTTTTTTTTTTTTTTAATTTTTGGTACCAGGGATTGAACTCAGGTCCTTGAGCCTTGCAAGGCAGGCACCACAACCACTAAGATAAATTCCCGGCCCACTATAAGCCATTTTAATATGCCAAAATATCAGAAACAACCTCAATTTTGTCTATTCCTAATCTCCCTAGTTAGCTTTTTCAGAGGATTAGTCTGTTTAATGATAAATGATAACACATTTTCATTATTGACATTCATTAAATATGAACCAATCAGTTTGACTATTTTAGAAATAAGTCCGTCTTTTATTTATAGAAATGTTTTCTGGTGCTAGGAATCAAACCCAAGGCCTATGACATGCTAGGTAAGCACTCTGCTATTAAGCTACCTCACAAGACCCTTGAATAGTCTTGATAGGATTTTATAGATTTAGTCCTTATCCAACTAGGGTAACAGGACGTCCTGTTGCTCTTAAGACAAAACGCAACACACAACAATATGAGTATGTGCCCTTAGCCCTTTTTTAAGTAATATTTTTCAAAGATTGTAAGTCTGGGCAAAAAGGTTTATTATGAATTTAATGTGTTGCAACAGCTGCTAATAGAGTGAATTAAAGGCTATTTAAGTTGCAAGTGCTGCGTGACCTATCCCGTAATTGATATTTATCTCAATAGCGTGGTTAAAAAGTCGGCCTGGGTTTACAGCTAAATACTTGCCACATTCCATAATTAAGTTGTTTTTCACAAACCACATCCTTGGTAACAAAAAAATATGTATCACTGCAGTGGTCTTTTGCCCTCGGCCACCAAACTTGTCCCTCATTTCTCTTTTTATCAGTAAAACACAAAAAATACTCAAAATATAAAGAAGCACGGAAAGCGAAGGTAGCTTTCTTTCTCCTGGAGGTTCAGCAGGTCCGGGGCACCTGAACATCTGCACACACCTCTGAGGTACACTGTGGTCCCTAGTTTGATGCTCTACAAGCTGACATTGCTTCAGGGTGGTCATAGCCAAACCAGAGACCCAAATGCTAAGAGCTGTCTAGTCTTTCCATGTATGTCTTCTAGAAAGGTGGACATATTGGACAAGAAATAACAAAACTGGAGAATCTTGTAAAGGAGGTGTAAGAAAGACTTTACTAAGCCATTTACTGTACAGGGTCCCACTGCCTTTTGCTCCCTTATGGTCTAAATCTGAACATTAAGACTTACCTATTGCCAGATTATCATCACCCTATCTTCCTTTTCTGCCCTGTAAATTGTAATGCATTTATTGGGTTTTACAATGGAAAGTTAAAGTTTCGCACCAAAAAGCTAGATAACAGTGCCTCGTCACTCCTCTGTTAAAGAACAGCCCCGGCCTGACTCTAGTTCAAGCAGGCTAGGAATGGTAGTGTGCATGGCAGACTACTTGACGGTCCCTTAAGTGAGCCTGTAATATCAATTATTTGCCAGGCTCTTAACCCTGAGGTAGAACTGAAATACAGAAGGAAAGAAACACTCCTCATCACAGTGACTACTGCAGTTTTGTTTCTGAGTGGCTCACTAGCAAAGATACACCTGTGAGCATGCAAACATAAACAACAAAGGAATAAAGTTGAGCTGGTTATGATTTGGAATGCAAGCAGGCAAATTCAGGAAAGAACTCAATAGTCTTTTTGCACAGCAGACAAAAAAGCTTGAAAAGTTACCGCTGCCGATCTGACTTGTACGTTGCTGTGAGTTCATCAAACATGGAGCTGTTCATCTCCATAAATGCCTTCAACACATTGTACACTAGTGCCACAATAGCCCTGTGGAGGGGAGAGAGGAGCACGTCCGTGAGTTCCATGTAACGGGTGCCAGAGGGGGAAGGCGAAGGGCTAACTCACTCCTACTGCGTACTGTCTCCAACAGTTCACTCTTTTCCACATCAAGAAAGTTTAATTCTTTACTATTCAAGGTGAAATCTATCTAAGGGGGGGCAGAAGAAGAAAAAAGTTCACTCTGCCCTTCTAATTATTGGTACTTAGAACAGATGTGGCCATCGCCACCTGATAACTTCATATAACAAAGAGTGCACAAATAGAGCAACGCACCCTAAAATAAGCACCTGTGGTAGGACTAACCTTAGATACCTTGATTTGTGTAAAATTTTACTTTTTAAGTAGTAATATGCATAATTCGTCAAAATCAGAAGCAGTCCCTACGGAAACAAGTGTCTGTGTGTGAAATGTATATACAGAGTTATTTATGTACAGTTGCTCATACTCAAAGATAGGATAGGAAGGCCCTATATGCTGGGCAGTTTAACAGCATCTACTTTTCTGGCTGTAATTTGCGTCAGTCCATCCGCTCCCACTGAGGCCCTCCGCGGCCCCAATGCTGACACGGTAACTGACAAGATGGTGATGGTTACTATTAGCCATACAACATTACACAGCTCAACAGCCAAAATGGTGGGCGGCCCGGTCTTATCAAACGGAAAGAGAAATTCTTGGACAATGTGAGGATCATGTCATGATGGGCTTAACAGCTTCAGACTAGAGTCTAAGTACCTTTGCAAAAACACTCAACATTACTTCCAATTTTACAACAAATGTGCTTCTGTTACTACTAGGAGAAGACTGGTAATGATTAAGTCATGTTAAACCACAAGTGTGTTTCCAAAACATTTATAAGAAAGAGTACTTGCTCAGTAGCTTCTGCCCTGTGTCCACTGGGAGGAAAGTTTCAGTTTGTTTCTATTAAGATTCCAGATTGCTATTCGTCATAACAGCAGTGGAAAAGCACCGAGTTTGGGATATTGAGAGTTGCAGAATTCCCTAAAACTACTCTGGAAGGAAGGGAGGAAGGGTCAGAGCAAAGGAAGAAGAAACAAAACTGAAAACCTACGGATTCCAATGTTCTTTTGAAATCCTATAAAGGCTGGAAAACATGATGGGAAGGATGACATTGGAGTTTTCTTCTATCAAACTCATGATGTACTCATTATTCCAATAATAGAGAGCTCTTTCTGCCACCTTTGGGAAAAGAAAGACAAAGGTAAAACAAATGATAATCTTTCTAAGCAGAAGTATTTTAAGACTATTTTTAAATTGTCAAATCAAAAGTAAAATTACATATTAATCGCTTTAGATTTTTGTGGATTTAAAATCTCTCGGAATGTTCCAAAGTGGTTCATCAATTTAGGGAAAGAATGTTTTCTTTCTATTAATTTTTTTTCCTTTTTGGCACCAGAGATGGAACTTGGGTCCTTGCCCCTGGCAGAGGCACCACTGAGCTACATGCCCAGCCTCTTCCTGCTAATTCACGTGCTCCTTAAAGGCTTCCCATCATCATCTGACTGCACAGTTTCCGTACACAGCTCCCAAGCTCCACAGCGTCACCATCGCCACGAAATGACTGTCCCCATCACAGATCCTCTCTCTCCTCCTGCACACTTCAGATGAGCCACAGGCCCTGGACCACAGCAGACAGAGGGCTGGAGCACCATAACAGAGGCTCAGAGACCCCTGGGTGCCCACCCCGTACAGCGCACCCACATTTACTGAGCACTTCCTGTGGCCCCTGAAGTGACTGCAGATGGAAGGCGTCACCTTTCCCGTACTGCCACCCGTAAGTAGGGACACTGCCCTCCCAGTGAGGACATGGAGGTTCAGAGAGCAGGTAACCTGTCTGCTCGTTCCAAAAGCCTGGGCTTCCCCAGAGCTCAGTTTTGGTCCCTTCCTTTGAATGGGGAGAGCCGCGAGATGGCTGGTCAGTTTCCGGCCTTGGGGACACTGGCTACATGTACACCAGGCTGCTGTCTTGGGTCCCTGGTCCCTGCCTACCTTGCTACCCACTGATTCCAACTTGGTGGGCTGGGCCTGAGTTGCTCACCTTGGGCTTTATGAATTCAAATGAACACCACAAAAACAGGCCCTGAAATTTCTACAAAAGGTGGTGACTTTTAAAATTTTTTATTTGTACATGTTTGAGGTGAATAATAATTACATTCACAATGGGGAGTTTGTATATGAACATCATCATTCTTTTTACTTTCCTTTCCCCTCCTCTTGAGTAGTTACAGGGGACTTGGGCATAGCCTATAACCCTCGCACTCTGAGAGGCAGGAAGGTGATGAGTTCCAGCCACGCCTGGGCAATTTAGCAATTTAGTGAGAGTCCATCTCAAAAATTAAGAACGGCTGGGGGTGCAGCCCAGTGCAAAGCCCCGGGCTCAATTTTCACACAGTGGGGCCGCATCAGCAACTAACCAGGCCTGCACCCTGGCTGACACTCCAGGCCCTAGATAGAGCCACCGTGTGTGGTGCTGGTTGGGGCCATCTGAGCCGCCCAAGATGATGTCTTTGTTTCTGATGCTTCTGAGCATCATTTAAGCCTCCCCAATGATGTTCAACTGAGGAGACTCCTGTAGCAGGCGTCCTGATAAAAGCAAACAAATAAGGAAAAGAACCCAGATGTCTGAGCACTTTAGGACCCATGCAATACACAAACGTTTAGTGAGATACCAAATCTATTTCAATCCAGACATATGTTGTAGCGTCTCAACCCTTCAGGTAATGGTTTCTACTTTTCTTTGCCTTTGTGGTTCAACCACCAGCCTGACGTAAGATCACTGCTCTGCCACATAAACATGTCTATAGATAAAAAATCCAAACAACAGCAAAAGCTAGTGTCTCTGCGTTGCAGGATAATAACAGTGTAGGGAGAATCCAGCACCCAGTGACCCTGTTAGAGCCGTGCTTCTGGGCTACATTAATTTGCACAGTCTCCTGGGAATGATGGGTGGTCCGCAGAGCTACTCCTCTAGGCCTGAAGTCGGACCTTTGATAAGACAGCCAGGAAGGAAACCCAACTTGCTGTGAACCCTGACCCCTCTTTCTTTTCTCCCGTGTGGGCTCCACAGCACCAAAGCAAAGGCCATGGTAAAGCAGCACCTTCCCTGTGTTCTCCCTGAGTGGCCACAAGGAGGCAGAGCAATCTACCACAAGGTCAAGGGTTTCCAAAAGAAACTATATTTAAAATCAAATCTCAATTCCATGTCCTATAACTGGGACCTTGAACAAATAATCCTCTGACCCTTACTTTAAAAAGTGAAAAAAGAGCTTCACAGCATAATGTGAAGTCTAGAGAAATAGCATCTGAAGCATCTACATAGCACAGAGTATTAGGGTTGTCCGTTCCTTTGTAAGCATTATTTACTGTTCTTTCTACTGCAGAACCCAGCCTGCCCACTTCTTATCATGCAATTTCCCTAAGATAAGTTCTTTCAGTGATCCTGTCTGCACATCTGTGAAAAACGGGGATGGTGGAAGTCAGGCTGCTGGACAGGAAACACTGTGAGAGCAGCTTCCGGGAGCCGGGGCTCAAAACAAGCAGCCACTGTGAACATCGCCGTCACCATGGGAGAAAGCAAACAGCAAAAGAACAACTAAAATGCCAATAAAAACAAGCAACACGTGTTCATTATATTTATAAGTTAATCAAAATACTTCATGATGCATGGGCTATTTCTGCTCACTGCTACTAACCTGAAAATGGGGGCTGGATACACACTTGGCAATTTGTTTAAACAAAGGTTCTTGAATTTTAATAAATTGTGATGGTTCAATCACATCCAGAATTTCTTCTAGCTCCCCAAGGAACATGACCTGTAAGTAAAAGCAAAACACTGATGGGAGACACTTTGTTTAAAAATGCCACATAATCACCATTTGAGGAAAAAAGGTACACATAGAACCAAATGTAAGTGAACCAGGCATCATCTTATGTTAGAAGATGTTCATTTCACAAAGAAATCACCACAGGGTATTTTGTTAAAAGTCCCCTACAGCATTGAGAATATAATGCTACTTCCTCTGAAGAAAATCTGCTTGCTACAAATACTGTACAGAACCAAATGCACTTATACTATGTCAGGGCCCTCGAAAAACAGGCACCCCCGGCAGGGCTCACACCTTGGATCACTCTCTCCCAGTTACACACACACACACACACACACACACACCCTCCTTAGAGAGCACAGTGAAACTCTTGGCTTCAGTGTGCCTAGAGAGCTTTTAACACTCACAAAAAGGAGCCAGACAGAATTGATTTGGTCAACTATATTAAATATAATGGAAATGATAAAGATAAATTTTTTAAAAGATACCTATCTAGCCATGAAGGACAATTTTGGGGGAAAATTAAGTGTGCAACTAAAATATAAAAATTAACACTGCTTTCGTATCTTGAGATGCACTAGATAGCAAGGGGGTTAGATTTTATTTAACAAGTGGTAAGAAATTAGAGATAAGGGTTTAGAAAATTAAAGCAGGTTTGAGGAGGAAATTATTTCTGCAGACAATTACAAATTGTCAAGATACATATATGAGTTCTTCCCAAAGAGAAACCTCTGTGCCAGGGCCACATTCCTCCTGGCTCCTAACCTTCCTGAAGAGCATCTGGAGAGAGGGGTGCAGAGCACCTGCCTCCAAGCTGCTGTGAGAGCCTCAGCCCACACCTCACACAGCAGCACCTGCCGCCTATGGCAACGGTGCAGATGACGTAGCGCCGAACCTTCCAGAGTCACCTGGGAACAGCTGAAACTAAAGGCCTTGGCATATTTTAAGGGTCTACATCGTAAGATCCCATCTGTAGTGTGCTTTAAAGTGGAGGCTGAAGCAAGTGGCTCTAGCATTGTACAGTGCCGGCCAAACCTCCAGACTACGAAGAGGGAGGGCACTAGGAAGGTGACAGGGCTATGCCCCTGGCCTCATCTCTTCTCACTCAGTGTGCCTGGGTGGCTCCTCGCCCTCCTTAAGCCTCAATCTCTGGGCCAGTAAGATGAGGATTTAACAGACCTGCCGCAGCACCCTACAAATGGGTTCGGATGAAATGTGTGATCTTCTAAGTGTTTAGCCCAGTGTCTAGCACTCAGCAGAGGACTTAGAAGGCTACTGACCGTCTTTGACATTAAGCACTCACCTCTTTTTGACTGCATGTTTTAGGCCAAAATTTCATTAACCCCCTAATAACCTAAAATTAAAGGAAAATAAATAAGTAGAATTTAATTTTTCAAGTAGGCTTTCAGGAAAAGTGCTTTTTAAGTTTTCTGGAATTATGAAAAAGTACTTACTGGTTCTGTTAGTGAAGGATCTTTCTCCAGAAACTGTACTATACAATATGCCAACTAAACAGGAAAAAAACATAAAGGACAAAATTTTAAATTTTATATGCTAAGGGTTGAAAAACCACATTTTAAAACTTTCTAACCCATTTTCAGACTCTGGTTTTAACGTCACAAGCAATTCATTTTAACCGTCATATGGATAAAATATAGCAACCAAAACTAAAGTTGGTTTGTTTGGGGACCCAAGATCTCCGTACATGTGCCCAGGATGGCCTTAAAACTTTCTGATCTTCCCGCTTCAGCCTTTCAAGTAGTGGAGACTACAGGGATGTGCTGCCATGCCCAGCTAGAACCTACTTTTTCAAGCCAAAGCCTGACACTAGGAGGATCCTAGGAGAATTTTTTTAAGAGTAATGAGACATGAAGCATCCAGCCAATGAAAATCAGAAGTGACATCTCATTCAGTGTCCTCCAAGAGTTTCATGTACACATAATTCCGGGCACATCTCATAGGCTTCCTTTCGTGCTAGCAGCAACAGTACAAGGTTAATACTGTGTTTCCTTCCCCTACAGGGGAATGAGACTTTCTAAACACCAGCACACATATACTAACACAATTTCACAAGGAGTTAACCACAGTTAGAACCTGGAAAAATGTAAACAAAGTTCCACATCTGATGCTAACACAGGTGAGGAAGAATTCTTTTAAATGATCACAAAATGTGATATCCCACTGCCAGCACCAAGAGCAAGATTCACAAGAGGCTTGCAAAGATTCTGGGACAAGAAACCACTCTCAAAAATACCAACATTTTTGATACTTTCCAAATTAGAAACATATGGACTAATTTTTCCTCGAAACACAGATTTTCACATCTTTAAAGAACTCTGCTTAGAAAAACGTGTTACATTTTTTATGCAAAATCAAAACATCTTCAACGAAGGCAGGAGCAAGACAGAGGTTTAAAATACTAAAATTAAAAATATCACTAGAATTGCTTCTCAGTCTTTTGACTAAGATCAAGTGTGGTAAAAATATCACTAGGGCATTTTTCTGCCCTCTAGTGACATCCTTACCACACAAGGAAGTGTTAGCACGGAATCAGAATGAGGACAAGATGGGACATGCTTCTCCAAGTAATAAATGCTTATTAAAAAAAAAGATGTGAAAATTCTGATAGATTTATTTACTGGTGAAAGTTCATTCGTACAAAGTGAGAAAGAAATGCTGAGTGAAGTGGGAGAAGGGCAAAGGGCAATGGACAAACATTAAAAAGGATGACACAATGCCCAAAGATCTTAATCTGAAGACCACAGCCCATGTCCAGTATATAAAATAGACTTCTAAGAAGTCTCGAGAGCACGCGTTAAAGTTCCCTGAGAAACAAGACTGAACAAAGGATGCTCCCTCCTAAAACTATTCCGACTATCCTATTGCGGACAGAAAAACTACCTACTCATTTTTATTTTCCTCAGAGAGTATTTTAAACTTTAACGAGTCTACTTTTTCAACTGGGGAAATATTAAGTGTCCAAAGAAATCACTGAGTTTTCAAACTTTTCATTTGCTTCAAAAGTAATTATGCTTTAAATTCTACCTGGGCGTGGAAGAGTGATAAACTCCTGACCGTGTGTAAAGGGATCAACACCTTCACCAGAAACTGTTTGTGTTCTGCCTTCAGAGGTAAAGCAAAGCCATTGATAATACTAGGAAAAGAAAAGAGACAGATTAGCAATTCTAATGCAACACACACACATGGACAAACTGTTCATTGTGAGACTGGTTAAATCTTAGTCAGTTTAATTTTATTAAAAACATAACCAAAACCTTCCCCGATAGCATTCAAGATTTCCTAAGTGACTCAAAGGGTGAAGTGAAGTGGAAGGAGTTTATGAGAAGTCAATGTGCTTGTGGTCAGCGAAGGAAGGCTCCTGTGCACTTGAAAGTAGTAGGATCACCCCTAAAACACTTGTATCAAAAACCTTTATTTTACCTTTCTTCCTTTTCTCCGCACAGCTGCCTGCCTTGCTCACTTCCTACTGTCCAGGCCTGGGAAGTCACAACCCTCTTCTCTCCTTGTATTAGGAGGAAAGACTGAGTGATCGCTGCTCAGCTGTGCCAGCCTCCCTTGTGTGTAGAAACCTACACAGCAGCCGTCTCTGCCCAAGTTATTCTGTGAGCCCAGCTGCAGCTGTTCTAGAAATACACCTGGGTACACGGTTCTGCTGAAAATGGTAATCTTACTGACTTATTATAAACCTGCTTTCAACCGGTATGGCACTGGACAGGGTAGCCTAGAAACCAGGCTGAGGCAAAGTAAGACGGCTCAGCGCAACTGGCCGAATCACAACTGATGTACTGTGGCTGTAGAAATGAATGAACGGTTAGCTCTTCCAGTCACTCCAGTGGAATCAGACACATGGAGGTGTGGAACAAGGGGAACAGGAAATTGCACCTTGTAGAGTCAGCTGGGAAACACGCTAAGCACAAATGAGAGAGCTAAGTCAGAGTCTCACTGTGCTGCCTGAATGATATTCACCTCAGGTGAGCGATTACACAGAAGTGCCTACCTTCCTAATATTTCCAACAGTTCAGCTACGCCATTGAAGTGTTCTGTTTCATAAACAAACCTTAAAAGACAAGAAGAGAGGGGAAGGCGGGGAGGGGATGGACTAAAGTCAGTGTACCACGTTCATACACCGGAGGTTTACTTAACACTTCTATAGCAAGGTCAACTTTGCTTCTCCTGCACCCCCACCCTCCACTTACCTTAGAAAAATATTGTTAATCTGTTTTCGGATAAATGCTCTAAGACCAAGAAACTTGCCATAAATTCTGTGTAAAACTGTCTTTAAGTAGTCCCGTTCCCGAGGGTCTTCACTGTCAAATAGTTCCAAAAGCTGAAATGAAGGAAAAAGAGTATAACTATCAAAAGAAGTTTCACGGGAGAATGTAGGGATGCTCCAGCTCATTACTCAGCAGCCTTCTCTCTTCCTTTCTCAGGGCCTGAGTATCAGTCCCTGGGAAAGGGCTGCTCAGCGAGCGGAGCTGTGACAAGTGGACGCGTGGCTATCCACACACACAAGAACAAGGCTGTGTCCCCGCACTTCCCACCGGAGCTGCAAAGTGACTCCAGGCGGAGAATGAAGCGAAAGGCAAGAGGCAAATTATAAAACAGAAGAAAATACATGAGTAACTCGTCATAATCCTAGACTAAGAGACTTTTTAAAATACGACACACAGAGCGTAAGTAACAAAAGGGAAAAAACTAGACTTCTTCAAAATAAAAACATTTGTGTTTCAAAGGACATCATTAAAAAAGTGAAAAGTCCCACAGAATGGGAGAAAATATTTGCAATCTTTATCTGATAAGACTACTGTCCACAATGTATTATGAACTCTTAAAGCTCAACAAGAAAAAGACAAATAATTCAAAAATGGAAACAGTATTTTTCTGAAGAGATGTAGCCAGAAGAAGGTATAAAAATGGCTAATAAATGAAAAGTTCAATTTCATGATTTAAAGAAACACAAATCAAAACAACAAGAACACACCAACAATGTGATGTCTATAATTTAAAGAATAATAAAAAGTGTTGGTGAGGATATGACAAAACTGGAAACTTTACATAGTCTGGGAAGGGACAGAAAATGTTGCAGCCGCTTTGGAAAACTTCGGTGCAGGGTGTTGGCCAGAAGTGTATGTGGGATGGATACACAGAGGTGAGGGACTTTTGGAGCCACACACCCTAGACTCCCAGAATGCACGGAAAGAGGCAAAAAGACAGCCTAGAGGGCCACAGTCCAAGTAGGAGCAAACACCTCGTCTTAAGGAATGAGCACTTTGGCCCTGTGTCCCCCTCCCCCATACACCAATTTCTTACTTAGACCGGTCCTAAGGTCAGTCATAAAACAGACTTCCCTAACCTCTCTGTCCTTCCCAGTCCCTGCATGAATTCCTGCATATACATCGTCCTGCCTTTGTCCTTTCCCCTCGCTTCCTGTTAGTCACTTCCCATTGGGGCTGTATTTATGAGACACTAGCACACTGAGGGTCTCGGTTAAAGGCAGCTCCTCTGGATCCTCTGAGTCTGTGCTGGACCCTGACTCCGAGTAAGTCTTTGTTTCATCCTTCACGGCGTGCCACGGCTGTTAACTATGACAGGTAGCAGTTCCTCAGAACTTCCAGTTACTGGTGGCTACAACTAAAGTTGTATCCCAGGGACCAACTAAAAGCACTGAAATAATATAACCATACAAAAGCTTACACAAATAATCATAGTAGCAATATTCAAAAGAGTGAAAAGTGAAATCATCTCAGTGGCATCAACTGATGAAAGAACAGACAAAATGTAATAAAAATATAATATTGTTCAGCCATAAAATAAAATGTAATATGCATCACTGTATTATTACAACATAGATGGACTTTTGTAAGCATCATGTTAAGTGAAAGAAACCAATCACAAAAGATTATATAATGTGTGATTTCATTTAAATGCAATATCCAGAATTACAAAATCCATACAGACAGAGGTAGAGTGAGGAGTGACTACAATGGGTATGGGATTCTTTAAGGATAATATAATGTTCTGCAATTATATGGTGGTGATGGTTCCTCACTTTTAAAAACCTAAACGCATTTTTTGAAACAGTAAACTGCAAATTTAAAAAGTAATGTTATGTTATATAAATTGTAAATTCTTCATCATAAATAGCCTGTGTCAAGTATTTTGTTACAACAAGGGAAGACTAACATTCTCAATTAATTATGTGACATACAACTCAACACCCCTGCAAGTGAGCAAGCAGGTCTACACCAGACACACAGCCGCCCCACCCAAGGGCATGACCGTCCTGACTCCAAGCCGGCTCTCCTCACATCCCATGGCACAGGGCAACAGAGGTCAGGACCAACAAAACAACCTGATCCTGAATGCAGATAGCACACAGGGAGAAAAAGGAGCAAGCAGACCCCACGGCTGTTCCTTCTACCAAAGGGAACAAAGGTCCTTCAGAATGAATGGGAGCCAAAGTCTGGGGCAAATGGACAGAGGGCTCTGGTGTGGGGAGGGCACCTCAAAAACCCACAGGCTATAAAGCTAGGCAGAGAAAAATAGTGACTGCTACAACCCAAGACTGCAGATCCTGGAAAGAAACCGTTCATTCAAAAACATAGGAACTTTTTCTTAGTTTAACTAAGTCTTTGATTTTTCTGTATTTTATTATTTTTATCTTTCCTTCATCAGGTTTTTGGGAGGTTTAGGGTTTCTCTCTTTCCTTTTTTTTTTTTTTTCTCTTCTACTTTTTCTCTCCTGTTCTCTTTTCAATTGTAAAGCAATCTGTCTTATCTTTTATTTCCTGTGTCTTGCTTTTTATCTCTTTCTTGCTCCTTCTTTCTTGCGCCTCCTCCACAACTATTGACTTCCTTTTACTCCTTCGTAGGCCCCATCTCACTCTTCGCTCTACTTCTCATATCCCATTCCATTTTCAAAGTTTGTTTCCATTCTCCGGTTCTCCACTCACTCCACCTTTACCAGTCTAATTACTGTGCTGTGTGAACCTCTAGGTAGCTGGTTAATTTTACTCTCGTGTAAAATTAGCACTACTGTGCTATTGCCAGAAGAGGCAGTGTTTCCATTTAGTAGGTACTTACTATAGAGGTCAACAGTAGATCCGTATTTGGTTAATTCATAGATCTATGTCTATGGTTAAAGGTAGTACATTATTGGTCCTTAGGATTAGTCAATATTCAGTTTCTACTTGACACTATAATTGATACTGATTTTACTGCTATAGCCAAGGTGACAGCTGCTGCTTTTAACTGGTTTTATTTGGATGTCAATATCTCGATTGCCAATGAGGTGATTAACAATACTGCAACCGAAACACCTTCACTGGAAGAAAGGTAGCTTCTTTAATAAATGATATTTGAAAAACTGGCTTTCCACATGCCAAAGATTGAAACCAAACCCAAGGCTTTCACCATGCACTAATCTAAAATCAATATGGATCAAAGAAAGATCTAAATATTAAAACAGAAACTAAATCTGCTGGAAGAGAGAATAGGCCAAACACACAAGGAAGGACACAGAAGTAGGCAAACGCTTGATGAACAAAACCCACACCACAGGGGGAATACTACAAAGAATCAACACCTGGGACCTCATCTTATTAAAAAGCTTCTACACAGCAAGAAAAACCACCAAGAGCAAAGAGACAACCCACAGAGTGGGAAAAAACTTTTACCAGCTATTTGGATAAAGGATTATTCTGTAAAGAACTAAAGAAAAAAAAACTAAAAAATTAAAAAAAGAACTTTAAAAAATCTAAAAGAAATATAAAGAACTAAAAAAAAAAAAAAAAAAAAAAAAAAACTTAAAAAAAAAAAAAAAAAAAAAAAAAAAAAAAAAAAAAAAAAAAAAAAAAAATCAGACCACCCAGACTTAAAGACACAATGCAAAAATGGGCATCTGAAATAAAAAGACACTTCTCAGATAAAAAAATTAAACAGCAAAAAAATCTATGAAAAACTGTTCATCATCACTGGTCATTCATAAATGCAAATTAAAACAACACTAAGATTCTACCTCACTCCAGGAAGAATGACTGCTATCAAGAAATCAACCAATAACAAATGTTGGCAAGGATTCGGAGGGAAAAGGGAACCCTTTTCCACTGGTGGTGGGAGTGTACACTGGTGTAACCACTGTAGCGATTTCTCAAAAAACTAAAACTAGAGGTTCCATTTTATCCAGTTATACATCTTCTTGGCATCTTCCTGAAAGAATTAAAAGCACCATACCACAGTGATATATGCACACCCATTTTTACAGCAGCACAGTCTATAGTAGCTAAATCTTGGAAACAGCCCAAATGCCCATCAACTCATGAGCATATAAAGAACTATGGGCTTCAGACATTTCTAGTTAAATGGATGGACCTTGAGACCATACTCTTAAGTGAAATAAATCAGACACACATGTTTATATACTGCATTATTTCTCTGGTATGAGGAACCGGAAGTGAAATAAGGACTGAAATGTATGGCAGATGTTGGGAAATGGAAAGAAAGTGTTCAAATGGGAAGGGGAACAAGGGAGAAGGGAGAAAGGAAGGGACAAGAAAAAAAGTGAACATAAGAGGAAAAAAGTGGAAAAGCTTTGGAACATGGGGGAAGGGGGTGGAATAAAATAAAATAAAGCAAAAAAAAAAATTTTTTTTTTTTTGGTACCAAGGATCGAACTCGGGTCCTTGCGCTTGCATGGCAGACGGTGGAACCACTGAGCCAAATCCCTGGTGCACAATTTATTTTTAAAAAATAAAACTATTCCTAGGGAACTGGGTATCAGGCCAAATACGCTCCCATCCCAAGTAAAGGAAAGTGGTTAGATGCTGGGAGAGATGCAAAGTCAATAGGTAACCATACCCAGAGGACACCACTGAAAACTAGACATAAGGAAAGAGGTTTCCACACAACAAAGAAAGCTTTCCACTGCAAGCCTTGACACAAACAAACTAGAAACACGAGAAGACAAGATAACAAATGCTTCCAGAAACTCCCAATTCCCCCAAAGCTGGTCCATGGGGCATGAAAGGGGAGAAAACCAAAAGCCACACACCCAAAATTATTTGAAATGATATGAGGGGAGATAACAAAGAAAATCAATAAGGTATTGGCAAGCACAGGAAATGTAAGCAAATACTGGGCCAATTAAATAAAGCAATTAGCAAATCTACAGAGGACACTAATAAAAAGCTAACAGCTCACAAAAATGATGAAAAACATGAATGACCAGTATAGAAAAGAATTAGAATCCATTAAATAAATTCCAAATAGAAATTGAGGAGATAAAAATTCTATTGAAAGAATGGGGAGGAGAACTGATCAATGTCTGGAC